AAAAAAAAGTTTCTGAAAGAATATCAATATTTTGACATGAAAGAAGAAAAGGGAAAATTACATGATAAGGTTCAGAAACAGTAAAATGAAAGCACTTATGCCATAAAAATACCTGCTCTTGTCAAACAAAGAAAATGTATTTATAGTTATTTTATAACCCCCTCCTAATTCATGAGGAGTTTTAACAAAGCTAGTTATATTTACGTCTTTAAAATGCCTTTTAAAGTCACTCCTTTGCTTGCTTTTTTTACTGGCAGTTATTATCATAGTGATAGAAAAAAATGGTCAATATTTGCATTTGTTTTATATAAATTCAGTGAACTGTAGGAAATATAAAACTCTTCCTCAATACTAAAAACACTTTTATCTAGAAGTTGCCTTTAAAATTCCAAGAAATACAAAAATTTCATTTGAAATTTATTTTTAGAGAGGAAGCTTGTCCCACTAAGCTCAAATGCTTTTTAGTGGAATTTGTCTTTGCTCCCATCTAGAACTCATCCTAGAGAAAATACACTAAAATCTTTTAAAAGTGTATATTTCCCTTAGAAGGACTCAGAGGAAGATTGATTCTCTACTTCATGTTCCTATATGAAGAAAAAAGACATACCTTCATTAAAAATAAATGATTCTACATAGCTGCCCTAACAAATATGTTACCTACACATGCATTACATTTGCACACACATACATCTGTGCTGGATATAGCGTTGTCTCYCTAACCCCCATTAGGAGAAAATTTTGGTGAGTCTGTAATAAAGTGGGCTGATTTGGACAGTGCAGGTGATTTCTCTCCTGTGGAAAGCACTTTTCACCCCTATTTTGAACAGATTTCTTTTTTCTTATTTTTCTTCTGGCTATGGAGCTTATACTGTACAGTTACATTAAGTTTTTCCATTTAAATCTCAGAAAAAATGTTTCAGGACATGACACTGACAACCCTTTCTCATGGCAAGAACAACACAGTCAGTTGGAGTTTGCATTAGGAAACCGAAAGCACTTCCCAACAGAAATCAGATCCTTTGTGCTTCTTTATGCTTTGAGCACATAGTAGAAATAATCCTTTCTTCAAAACAAGAGAAGACGGAAAAAAGAATCTTCTCAGCAGCCAAATCTRAATTTTCCATTCTGTGATATGATTAGGCACTTATTTATGCGTTGTCAGTCACAAACATGCAGAAAAACGTAAAAGTTATTGAAAAAATTAAAGTCTGCTCCACTGTCTTGCAGGACTGTTGGTTCTCTAAGTGCTTTGAAATTATGATGTATGAGGTAGATGCTGCATATTAAATAAAGATATTTAAATTATAAAGCCCCCGTTAGTGAGAGCTGATGAATGTTAAATGGTACGAGCCACAAGGCTGTGGCATCCATCATATTCACATATTATCACAGTCAGTGATGGAGCAGCCCCAGTGATGACAGATAGACTGCTAGATAGTTATCCCTTATTTCCAGCGTCGCCAAGCAAGCCTTGCAACCCCTTCGCATTATTTTTAGCTTTGCTTTAAATTAGCAACTTTTCCCGTCACGTTCTGCCAGAAAGTATCAATTCTTCCTTCACGTGTGGAAGGTAAAAGAATGATTCTGTGGAGCAGGGAGTAAAGCAAAAGGAAGCCTCAGCCCCTGCCTCAGAAAACACTGCAAACTTCAAATGACTAGAAACAAATATAAAATTGTGATCTTGTAAAAGAACAGCAATGAAACAGTAAGCACGCAATAATGGCTTTTCTCTGCACTTAGATAAAAGCTGAATTTTTGATGTGCACAGTATATTTTCATAAAATTTTATATACTATGTTTTATACACTTATTGGCTATTCCATAATAATGTGTGTGCTAACAGTAAAATTGCTCTTAAATTTATGTGTGTTATTTATACGTTCCCACGTAACAATGCTTTTTGTTGTAAAAAATATTCTGTTTATTAATGTAACTTTACAACCTCTGCATCCAGGATCCGTGGTAAATTAATGACATTTTTATTATTTTATAGTGTCATTAAATTTTTACTGATCACTCCATCAAACAGAAGCAATAAAGGCCATAATGCAAACTGGGACACTTAGATCAGGGGAGCAGGAAGGCATTCCATATAGTCTGAAGTAAACGGCTTGCCATAAATGATATTTATACCATCTTTAAGGATGTGAGAATACTTGGACAAGTTTGGCAAAACTGTTTCTGTAGTACTGTGGATTGTGTACTTAAATAACAGTTTACTTGCCAGCGAGACAATTTTTTTTCAAGCCATATGCAAGAAGATGACTGATTGCATCCATCTCTTGAAAAATAATATAAGAAACGTAATAATACACTGGGCACCCCTCCCTTCTGGATTACCGAGACTGATCTGACTATACCCATGCCTCAAATTATTTCAACATGCTTGCTTTTTCCACATCTGAAATGTATGCTTAGCCTGAAATGGAAAATGGCATGCATGCTGGTCGTCGGGTAAAAGATTTAAAATATATATATTTTTTGCAAACAAATACTTTTATTTAAGTATACGGGTTTGGACAGTGATGTAATACCTTTATTTCAATAGTCTAGCATGGAAGCAGTTACCAACATCAATTWAAAGAGCCAGTGTCTAGAAATCGAATTAATATGGGTCATTCACAGAARCCACAGAACATATGACTGAAGGGATATTATTTCTTCTGAGGACAGTGCTTCAGTTARAATGACTACAAATAATTATCACATGTTGTCTTTATGTATGAAATGCATTCCAATTGAATTATTCCATTCTAAACGTTCTAGTAGCTTATTTGCTAACTGTGATCTATTCCCTTCATGTACCATGGACAGTAAACAACCA